AGCGCCCCCTGGGGGCTGCGGCCCGCACAGCAGCGCCACCCCGCCCCGCCGCGCGCAGCGCCTACACTCCACGTGCAGGGAGGGAAGGGGCAAAAAAGAAAAAAGCGGGGAGAGGGTCCCCGCTCGTAACCAAGCTCCAGCCCCCCCCCACGGCCTCAGTCACATCCTGCCTCCCTCAGCAATGCACAGGCTCCTGGTCCCACTCTGGGCAAGCCTGATGCTAACCAAGTAAAGGTGCCTCCTCTCCCCTTGTTCTTTAGCAGAGAGAAGCAGTAGTTTGTCCCCCCACCCTTTCTAACCCTTTATTCTGACAGGGATGTCAGCAGCTTCTCCCTGATGTGGAGGCCAGGAGGAGATGAGCCCCACCGCCACTCCCGCACCTGCCCGAGGCCCTGCTCTAGACAGCACCGTGGGACCAGCCCTCGCGCAAAAGGCAGCGGCCGCAATCTCCCACGCTCTCGGCAAAAGCAGACGGGTTAAAGGCAGAGTTCAGCGCGTGCCAACATTTCCCGCCTTGGAAATTTGACGTGAGATGAGATTGTCTCAATGCTAGAGGGAAAGCGGGGCAAAAAAAGGACTCTAGTACTCACCATTTAGGGTGCTGCCCTGGGTAAGATTGGGCCTTACAACCGCCAATAATATGGGGGGAAATGATGCAGGCCAAGTAACTGATACCAATAGCTTTCATCACACGCATTGGTATCGCCTTCAGCCCAGGATGTTCAGGCTTGGAGTCTTGGTTTGGGCCCATCTCTGACATTAGTGACCTGCCTCTCTCAAAAGTTAAGGAAGGCCAAGGCTGACAAGGACCCTGATTCAGCAAGGAAACTGAGCATAGGATATTTACTACTAGCTCAAAGGCAAACAATTGAAGTCTTTGCTGCACTCATCAGCTAATCATCTCTTAGACCAGAGTCCTAAATTATGCTAGTCTCTGGATGAGGGAGGCCTCTGCTGAGAGGAAGATCTTGCAGCAAAGGCACTAGATTAGGGATATTTGGGTTGAGTGATTGACTCTGCCACATGTGCTTTGTTAGAAATTGTGCGCAGAGAAAGGGGTTTCCTTTGGCAATACGGGAAGCACAGCCTGTACCTTCAGGGGCCCACAAGTTTCCACCATAGTAATTAAGCATGATAGACAAGCTTAACGGCAGACCTGTGCCTTATTTGGTATTACCCTGCAGGTTGAAGAAGAGTCATGCAATACTAGTAATTTTCCACTAAAGCTTTGCGCATGCGAAATATCATGTAACCAGAGAATATAAATACGTGTGTGAGAGTGCAACCGGGGCCCCTCTGCCTTTCTAAGGTCGGGGGACCTTTGGCCGAATAAACTGAAAAGACCACACCCTCATCTTCTGCTTATTTGAGTCTCAGCTGGGAAACGAGCCCCACTGGGGTCAGGAGTATTCGCAGGTGTTCCCTTTCCAGGTTGGGAGCTTAAGCGAATAATTTCTCCGACAGCTTGTGACTGGTATCTAGGTCCTGAGCCTACAATAACCTAAGCACATGCATAACTTTATTCACATGAGTAGCTCTCCTGAAACACAGTAGGGTTAAAACTGCGATCCTGCAAATATTGAAGCATTTATGTAACTGGATGTATGCATGTGTTTGTGGGGTCTTAATTTCTCCTTGTCTTATCTCCCCACCTAGCCTAGGCTTTACTCTCTTCTTGACAGGAGTACAATGAAGATAAATTCCTAAGCCTCCGGTGTGGTGTTCAGGGAGGTCATGTGAATGCATAGAGAGACAGTGCCATTGTTTCCTTCCCCAAAGAGTAGGTAGCGTGATATACACAAGAAAGAAATAGAAAACAAAAAAAATCTCCAGTGATGCAGGGAAAGGGGACACTAAAAGACAAATCATTCCTTTGCCCTGAACCTAGCTATGTCAGGTGTGTGCTGAGCTGGCAGATCCTGTAATGCTGCTACTGAGCACTATGTGGTGTGAAGCAGAGAAAGCAAGCAGGGAAATAATATTCTGTAGCCAAACCCCAGAACACTCATCAGGCTTTCAATTTAAAAACAACAACAAAAAAACAACAACTTGTAATGGAGCTAAATTCCTCTGCCAGAAAGCCTCAGCTCCCTAATTAAAGGATCTAACATAATACTGCCAGTGTTTGTTGGAGACACATTTGAAAAATATACACTGTAAACCTGGGGTTTCTCAGTGCAGATAAAGTGCAAATTAAAAGCAACATTCTACTGAGCATATTATGCAAAACTCACTGATCTGTAATTCATTCCCAGCATTAAAATCAGAGATCAATCATCGTATTTACGCACTCACACAAATAAAATTACTGATAATTTACCTCTGTAGCACAGAGTGAGATTTTCATAAAACTCATCTAGCCATAACCTATTGTCATAGTCAATTATTTCCCTTGCCTCTCCTACTCACCTCTTCCCTGTAACTATGTCAGTGGAAAGCTGTGATTTTTCTTTCCCATTCTTCACTTATGTCACAAATACATCACACTGAATGTATCCACTCTTGTCTGATCCTGGAAGCTATGTAATCCCAGATTTGAATAGTATGTGGATGGAAGACTGTCTGGGAATCCCAGGTTTTGTCAGCAGCTCTTAAGGAGAAGTATGCTCATGGTGAATCCTGCCAGATTACCTCATAATCTGCAGTTTTTCAAACACTGTTGTATGATGGACCTAAGGTGAATGAATTTAGATCACCTAATGCAGAACAGCATAGCCAGGTAACTACTACAGCTCTCCAGAAAGCAAAGACTTTTCCTCCTTGGTTTCATTTTGATCACATGGTTTTTTAAGTTAAAAACATAAAAGGCAGCAACATCATATTGTCCTGTACCAAGTACTGATGGAGTCTGTCTCATCAGAGACAGGGGAATGAAAAGGGAAGAAATATGGATTTACTAAAGGCAGATGAGGTTCTTTGGGTAAATGTGATATCTTTTATTAGACTAGCTAAATAGTTGGAAAAATTGTTCTTTGCAGGCTTTCGGGCACAAACATGCTTTGTGCCCGAAAGCTTGTAAAGAACAATTTTTCAAACTATTTAGCTGGTCTAATAAAAGATATCACATTTACCCAAAAACCCTTGTCTGCCTATGTCCTTATACCAACACTGCTACAACCAACACCCTGAATTTACTAAAGGAATTTCTCTTATTCCAGAGAAACTTCAGGTGATTATGACAAAAAGGACCATGCATAACTGTGTAATTGACCTAGGAGCTTTAATTTGGCTGATTCAGGATGAACATTTTTAAATTAGATTTCTGCTTTCCTTTGTTTTTATCTTATATTCCATTATTAGAAGCTTTTTCCTCAACAGGATATGAATACTATCCTGTTGTAATTTATACCTTATTTCTATGCATTTGCCATTCCATCTGTTTGCTATCTTTAATTGTTGTCTTGAGCTAGTATTGGTCTAGAAGCTTGGAAGTGGGACAGTCAATTGTTGAACAGGGCAGAGACAGCAATACCAAAAGTACCTGCTTCTTCCTGTGGGTGGCATCAAAATATCTTCAGTATACCAAGGTCTCTTTAAAAAAATGTAGCAAGGTTTTGTTTTATTTAGAAGCAGCTAATTATAGTGAAAACTGCAGATTTTGCTAATAATTTCATATAGTCAAGTATTTACATTAAGTGAATAAATCAAAATAATCAGAATTAGTATCACTCAAAAGGGAGTGATTTTCAAAGGTGTTAGAATCTGCCCACAAACAGTCAGGTCTTTTAAAAATGTCTCAACTTAGGCACTCAAAAATCACAAGTAATTCTGGAGAACCTTGACTCAATTTTTATTCACAAAATTTACAATTTCCAAAGGTGATGTGCCAACATAAGTTTCTCTATACACCACCCCAAGGTAAAACCCTATCTACATTGATCTAGGGATGAAGCAGCAGCCCACTTCCCATTTCAAATTGAAAAAGAAAAAAAAAAAGAGTTTAGGAATTTGTGTTGTACAATTCCAAAAAAGCAAAGTATTTTCTGTCCAGTAGTATTGATAGGAGCCCCTAACTAAAAGTCATCCCTAGCAGAAAAATGGAGACCTAGGGTCTTTCATTAAGAAATACTGCTACTCAAAATTCGGACTGGGTTAATAATACAGTATGCTTCATGGACAGACACAAGAGATGTGCAGAGGTAGACTTAATACTATTCTGAAAGGCACTGAATTGTATCCAAAGCAGGAAAGAATTCCAACTCTTTCTTCAATTCGACAATAGAATTTTAATGAGCAGTTCCCAAGAACTGTTGCCAGCACATCGTTGCCCTTGCAAAAACTCTCTCTCCTCATTGTATTATAAAAAATAAAAAAACACGTGAGATTTTTGAATTGTGGAGTTATGATTACATCTCAGGATTATATAGACTACAAATCATTCAGGCTTTGCTCTTGCAGTTTATAACAGCAATTGAACCCCTCGTCCATCTGAGTTATAGCCCTAGAAAGGAATTCTTATCCATTATTTAGTCTTTACACCAGTGCTTCACAAACTTTTGAAAGTGGAGTTGCCCACAGGAAAATGAAAGTGCTTATGCCCATTCCTCATAATTTATCCCTGTGTTGTTAAAGGCCTACATAACTTAGGTTTGGTCTTTACTGCTCAAAATATGCATTTTTACCATAACAAATGCATATTCATCAAACTGTAAACTCTTAGTGAAAAAAAAATACTGTAGTTTTGATAAGCACCCCTTGTTTCAGGGGCACCTGGCTAAACCCCTAGGGACAGAGGTAGGGCTGGAAGCCATGTCCAGCAGAGATCCCCTAAACTTTTACTATGCATTTTCTACTTCAGGAACAGCTTTGTATGTTTTGAAAAAAGTATTTTATCTAACCAAGGGCATAGAGTAGGTTGTTTAGGCTGGGGGAGATCGCTTGTTGCTTAGTTGTTTAATTGCTGGCGTCGCTAGAGGAAAAGCTGTATCAACAAAGTTCCGGAGCTGGAAGGGGGGTTACTTGTGGGGGAGCTGGAAGGGGGGTTACTTGCTGGGCTTGCTACACATTTCATCACATCAGCAAGTTTAACCTGTTATGTAGCTATATAAGGCAGACGCCCACTGGGGTGTGGGTGCTTGCTTTGCGAACGATTGCCAAGCACCACTTTCTGCGCAGAAATAAAGATTAAGTTGGATCCTTCACCCCTGTGTGTTTATTGGCACAAGCGCACCGGGCACGAACTCACTGTCCTTTGGGGACAACAGTTTTGCCATGAGTTAAGCTAGGCAAAGTCAACTAAAAGTTGAACTCACTCGTCTTCTTCTCAAAAAAAATGCAGGTACCTTCTCTACCTTCAGCATTACATTTTTCCGTGGAAAATGCCATTTGTCAAAATCAAAACTTTCCACAGGAACATATTGTCAGTGAAATTTGTTTAGGAAAAAAATGGAAACGAAGCTTCTTGATGGCGTTAAACATTCCTTTCCTACCTTACTAGAACAGATGGTCTTGAATTTTCATTTTAAAATAACTTTCCAATTTAAAATGTGCATTATACTGCATTATTAATAATGTTATGAAGAAAGAAAGAAGAAAGAGCTACATTTACTAGTAATCCTTATGACCCTGGCTAGTTCTTTGAGGGTTCCCATAGTGAGGGTGGGCCACACACCTAGGACTGCATTTTGCCCTTTGTTGCTTATTAATCCGTAGAAGATGGAAAATTCTCAAGCTCCGCATTTAGTATGGCACGGTTCTTTGAGTAGATGTGATATATTCTATCTTCTTAGAAAGAACTTTTTTCCAACTACTCAGTTGGTCTAATAAAAGATATCACATGTCCTCAAAGAACCTTGCCTGCCTATGTCCTTAGACCAACACAGCTATAAACAAAAACCTAGCAACATTTAAAGTCTGGCATATTGACATGGCAGTTCTTCCATATGATTATCCTGACTAGAATCCTTAGCTGTCTTCGGGTCCCTTTGCGCTACTGTGATGGCATAAAGCTAGCAGAATTAGCTTTGATAGGAACACGGAGGCATGAAGTAATGAAGAAGGTTTAAGCATTAACTTTAGGGGACATGGCTGCCACCTTTCCTGCTAACTGAACAGGAGAACTTTGCTGCCTATCCGGCCCACAATCAATGAATACAGAAGGACCTTTGCATATGCTCAACGCCTGGGTTGTGCTGTAAGGCTTTAATCTTTTTGGCTCAGGGCTACTGATCAATGAGCTACATAAGAAAGTGTAACTGTATCACCCATAGTGTAGTACAGAAATACATTCAAGAATCTGAACAGGGTTTTCCAGTAGGTGTCAACCTTGCACGTACAGAGCACAAATGCAGCTAATGCCAAGCACCTCCGTGCCTACTGATGCATGGGAAAGGAAGGAAGGAATC